AAAAGCTAAGCCTAATGCTAAAGTTCCTTACTTTTGATCAAAACCAAAATATCTCTTTAGTTAAGATTTGCATATGAATAATTTTTTTTGGATAATTTGGTATAAAATTAAAATAATCAGTCTACATTATTATTATTTTTAGGTGAAATCACTAAGATTTGAGACATAAGGGAGAGTAGTCATAAAAAAAAAAATGCATGACTTTCAATTATTTTCATAATTAGCTTATAATAGGCCTATTTTATTTTTATTTGGTACATAATACTTCTAGATAAAAATTTGAATTTTAAAATATGAATATTAAAAATATTGTATTAACTAGAGTTGAAGATAAAGGTAAACTATCCACTTCTTAGTGAGATAAAACTCTGAAACAAAGTTATTTGACTTAAAATATCAGCAAGACAGGCCTGATGTTTTCAAAATTGATCAATTAGAATTTCTTTCCTCTTTCTTAAATCAATTCAAAGTAAAGATTAGGTGAGTTCAGACAGTAAAACTATCAATTAACTTTGTATTGGCCCTCTGCGGACTTACAACGCTAGAAACCGGGTTTTCGATACCCGTGGCGGGCAGAGCACAGATAGCCCATTGTGTAACTTTGTGCATAATTACAAACAAACTTTGTATTGCTCCCAAGTATTTTCCAGAATTTTTTTCAGGATTATCATTCCAATACAAAAGTATCAACTATATAAAATTTGATGTCTGATATTGGTAGGTTTCAGTTTCACTTTAATCAGTGTGATTTACTTTTGCATCATTTTTCAAAGTAAGTTTTGTGATAGTTTATAAATAAAGTATCACGTTCTAAGAGTCCAACAGTTTAAAATTGGTATATCTGTATAGTTAATTCTATAGTTGAAAAAACAACACTTAATATTCCAAAAGACTTGGTCACTTATGAGGGCGATTCCTGTTTTCCCAGGGACAAAAAGATTTAACATTTTTCTTGTACGTTTTCTTGCTGTTTTATATACAGTTTTTTAAATGGACTATAGTACATACTCAGGATGTTAAAACAGTTTCATATTCCAGCACCTAAGTGATAAGATTTTGGGATTATAATGCTAAAACTTGCAAATAGCTAATTTTGTAGCTTTGCATGCAAACAACAAAATGAAGTAACTTTAAAAGAACTACGAGTGTTGAACTCCTTTTACTGTAGGAGCTTGCATATACTTAACTATTATACTGCATGTTTTTACTTTGAAGATGTTTTAGTTTAAATATGATTTTAATGCAACTGTTTGAGCACAAATCGGAGTTATTTTTTTCCTTCTAGTGTGCTAATAAGTTGTTCTAACGAATGTTTAAAAGAAAAATCGAGAAAAAACACTTACTGGACATGGGCTGAAATCTCAGTAGTTTTATTATAAAGTGCTGTAGGTTTATAAGTGGGATTTTTAACACACTGCATTTATTAATTGAAAATGATGACTTTATTCAAAGTTTTTATTTTAGCAAGAAGATTATAGTAACTGGTGTATATCTGAACATATACGTTACATCATTTAGTTCTGCTTTCGATTGTCTGATCAGTAATGAAGTAAACAAAAGTTCCTTTATGTTTAAACT